AGTTAGTGAGTTCCAGGAGGTCTTTGCTGACATAGATTGGTGCATAGGTCAGACTGACTTGGTGACCCATAAGATAGACACTGGGGAGGCCCATCCAATAAAGTTACCAGCTCGTAGGTTACCAAGTGCTAGCAAAGTTGTAGTGGAGGAAGAGGTTGACAAAATGTTAAAACAGGGTATTGTAGAACCAAGTGACAGTCCCTGGTCAGCTCCTGTGTGTCTGGTTACTAAAAAAGGATGGCAGTATTCGTTTCTGTATTGATTTTAGAAAGCTGAATTCCGTAACTTTACGAGATGCTTATCCGCTACCTCGGATTGATGATACACTTGAGAATCTTAGTGGGGTTCAATGGTTCAGTACTTTGGACCTTGCTAGTGTATACTGGCAGGTAGAAATGGATAAAAAGGACAAATCAAAAACAGCTTTCACCACTCATTTTGGGCTTTTTCACTTTAACGTGATGCCATTTGGACTTACAAATGCCCCGGCTACGTTCGAAAGACTAATGGACAGAGTACTCGGTACACTCAAGTGGAAAAGATGTTTGTGCTATTTGGATGACATTATTGTCTTTGGGTCCGATTTTGCCGGAGCATTGGAAAATCTTAGACTGGTGTTTACACAATTGAAATTAGCCAAATTGAAATTAAAACCACAAAAATGTGTGCTTTTTCAAAAAGAAGTAGCTTTTTTAGGGCATGTCGTATCCAAGGATGGTATCCAATGTAACACTGAGAAAACAAAAGCCATTGAATCATGGCCAAGACCTGTAAATAGGTCTGAGGTTCGTAGTTTCTTAGGGTTAGTTGGCTACTATCGTCATTTCGTCCAGGACTTTGCAAACATTGCTGCGCCACTCACAAGGTTGATCCGGAAACATGTTCGATTTAAGTGGGATGAGGATTGTGAACATGCTTTTCAAAAGCTGAAACAAAACTTGGTTACTGCTCCCATACTAGCTTTCCCCCAAGATGAAGGTCAGTTCGTGTTAGATACCGATGCCAGTGCTTATGGCATTGGAGCTGTGTTGTCACAGGTTCAAATTGATGGACAAGAAAGGGTACTTGCATATGCTAGTAAAACTCTGAATCAAGCTCAACAAAACTATTGTACCACTAAGCATGAACTTCTGGCCGTTGTCACTTTCTTAAAGCAATATAGACATTTCCTGTACGGACGTAGGTTCTTGCTTAGAACTGATCATGCACCACTTATCTGGCTTAAAAATTTCAAAGATCCAGAGGGAATGCTAGCACGTTGGTTAAGTGTCATTGAGACTTACAATATGGATATTCAGTATAGGTCTGGTACAAAGCATAAAAATGCAGATGCGTTGTCAAGGAAACCAACTCGAAAATGTAAAAACACAACTTGTATTGACTGCAGGGAGGAATCCTCTGCTGTGTTCTCTGATTCAGCCGGATCTGATCAGTCTGTTTTGAATTGGGAGGTACAAGTTGGGAGGCATGATCGGGAAACCCAGACGATCAATCCTATTGCAATACCTATATATATAGCTACAAGTAGGAATATAGGCAATTCTGAAAACACATCTAATTGGCTACCCGTTTGGACTAAAGACGAGTTGCTCAAAATGCAGCAAGACGATCCTAGTATCGGTCCTATTCTGAATAGATTAAAGGCATCAGCTGACAAACCATTAAAAACTGACATAGTTGATCTGAACTCTGACGCCAAGTGTCTTTGGGGTCAGTGGGATTCACTCACACTTCAAAATCAATTACTGTATAGGAAAAGTTCTTTGCATGTAGGTGGAGAGCTTTTGCAACTTATTGCACCAGAAGCTATCAGGGAAGAAGTTTTCAGTCATTTACATACTAAACGTACAGCAGGACATTTTGGCAGAGATAAAACTCAGCAGTCAATCAAACGTAGATTCTATTGGCCAGGCATGTCCGATTCAATTCGTCGCTGGTGTAAATTATGCCAGTATTGTGCACGTTGCAAACCAGGTCAAGGAAAGGGAAAGTCCTCACTGAAACAATTTAAAATTCGTGCTCCCATGGAGTGTATGGCAGTGGATATTTTGGGTCCTTTTCCGATAACTAGGAATGGAAATGAATACATCATAGTCTTGGGTGATTACTACACTAAATGGAAAGAGGCTTTTGCTGTTCCAAATCACAAAGCTATTACCGTTGCTGACAAGTTAGTGACTGAGGTATTTTGTAGATTTGGTTGTCCTCGACAACTCCACATGGATCAAGGCCGTGAGTTTGAATCTACTTTATTTACAGAGGTTTGTAGACTGTTGAGTATAACTAAAACCCGTACTACACCATATCATCCTCAGTCAGATGGTCTTGTCGAACGCTTTAATAGGACTCTTCGGCAAATGCTTTCTATTTATACGCACCAAGAACCATTAGATTGGGATGACCACTTACCATACCTCCTAATGGCCTACCGAGCTAGTGTTCATTCAAGTACTCACTGCTCTCTAAATCTACTTATGTTAGGGCGGGAAATTCAACTTCCTTTGGATGTCATGGTGGGAAGTCCGCCAAATGTCACTCCAGATTTATGTCCAGTAGCATATGTAGAATGGTTGCGCAGAGTCATGCAGGAAAATTTTGAATTTGCAAATGAGCATTTAGGAAACGCAGCTAAAATCCAGAAACGAAACTATGACATTAATCTCAAACATAGGGAATTTGAAGTAGGCTCGCAAGTCTGGCGGTGGTATCCCCCAACAGCTGGGCGGAAGCTTGGCTTGGGTTGGACTGGACCTTATTTTGTTCGGGAGAAAGTATCTCCTCTCGCCTACAAAATACAGAGAGATAATAAAACAACCTGCATCATTGTTCATGTTGATCACTTAAAACCCCTGGAAGTTGATGAGTCTGCCAGTGTTGCAAAGGAATCTGAAACAGAATCTGTTAGTGAATTAAATAATGAATATGGGGTGGATTCTTTAGGTGATTCAATAGATAATATGGGATCTAGTCCACCTGCTTCGGCAACACCTGTTAGGACTAGAAGGGGAAGAATTGTGAAACCTCGAGACCGTTATTCTCCCTAGGAAGCCTGATTATGTTTTTAATTGCACAGACCCTGAGGGTAGAACCATAGGCATTTTTATTTTTGTTTGTTAAAGAAATGGAGATAGAAATAGAAGTAGATGCGATGGAGAGAAGGGAATTCGAACTAAAGACGTTGAGGCAGGACTGGGAAAAAGGGGGGATGAAGTGCCCTGTCACGGGATGTGACAACGCACACTATCCCTGCTTTGGCCGCTTACTGGACCACTGGGCCCGTTTCCATAATAAATATGTAACTTTATCCCGGTGCGATCAATGTGGGAAACTGTACAAAAAGAGAACTCATGCCAAGGCCCATGTAAAGATACATCGGCCGGTGGCCAGCATCACCTCCGAGGAGAGGCCAAACCAGGAATATAGGGACCCTGAGGATGTTTTGCCCCCTAGGCCCCCTAGACACGACACCCAGATCCATGAAGAGGAGCGGCTTCAAGCTGAAGAAGAAAGATGCCGGTGGCCTTCCCGACGGTGCAGTCGGGAGGAACAAGACCTCAGCGACTTGAAATATTTGTTCATTGATGCCGATTCTGAGTAAACCCTCAGTGTTTTGATTTCTATTCATTAATTTGTTGTAATTACACAAATGATTTTGTTTATTCAGTTAGTCAGTCAACCTATTAAAAAGGGGAATATTTTGGAATATTTGTTTTAATGATCGGAAAGTTTAGACAAAGTAAGAGTTACTTTGTTCTTAGGGGGGAGGAATGTAGAAATATTGAAATTTCCTCAGATTATGTAGGATAGATGGTAGCATTTACGTGGTTAATAGCTCCTTACCGATATGTAGTTCGCTTGGGACAGCACGTTTCAGATCTTGCCCCACGTGCGGGCACGTGCGTTTGTCGGCTGCATGCCGATTTAGTGTTTACAGTCGTGGGTCGTATGGTAAGAGCGCTCCGATTGGTTGGTGACAGACTGGATTAGCCAGTGGCTGCACCGTTTAGACGTGTTGACCCAGAGGTTACGTGTCCTTGCGAGTATATAAGAGATAGGCGCGAATGCTCTCATTGTCTTGCATGATCGGGAAGATCATTACAGGTGAGGGAGACCACACCAAATTACCGTGTTCGGAGGACGAACAATTCCCCAATCCCTAGTGATTTTAGGCAATAAAGATCTAAATTCTGTGGCAACTTTAGAATTATTGGGTAAATTGTTAGAAAGCTTGGTTGGATGGGTGGATTTAAGCAGGAAATAATGTCAGCTATGTGATGTAGCTACATTGACCGATCGTGTTCGGAGGTCGAACATTTCCACAATCCCTAGTGATTTTAGGCAATAAAGATCTAAATTCTTTGGCAACTTTAGAATTACTGGGTAAATTGTTAGAAAGCTGGGTTGGACGGGTGGATTAAATCAGGAAATATTGTCAGCTATGTGATGTAGCTACATAGACCAATTGTGTTTGGAGGTTTGAACGGGTGGTTTGTTTTCATAGACTGTGTTAAGGATGTTGTAGGGATTAAAGTGGGTTAGTGAGGGGTTTGCTTTAGGCTGCTTTTGAGTTTTATTTTGAGGGTATAAGTAGGATTTTTGATTAGGATTGATTGATTGATTGATTGATTTGTAATTGTTGTTGAGTTCGTATTTATATTTTGATACAGTTGGTTTTTTTTCGTTTTGTTTATTTTTCTGTAATAAACTGTTGAAACTTGATTATATTTTGTTGTGAATCACCTCCCTACATCCAACGAACTGAGGTTGTAAAGGACAGACAGAGGGACCATAGACACTTTATTTTAGTATTTTCGGCATTAATATCTTCTGAATAAAAGAAACACAACGCAAAGTCATGGTGTCTTAAAGTGCCCAAAGCCTGTCCTGTTACACTCCATTATGTGAGACCACGTTGCACAGATACATTATACAATGATATTATTTGTGTGTATCCTTGTACATAAGACACTAAACTCAACTCTTCTACTTTCCCTGTTCAGATGATTGTCGATGATGAAGACCACCTCGCCTCTTTACAAGGTGAGTCCTCCTTGTTTACAATGTTTGTGAATGTCAGCTACTGCTAATGCGTGTTGACCTCATTGCGTGGATATTGAATCTGTAACGATTCGTCTGTTAATATACTGTCTTAATTTATTAATTACATTAAGTAATACGTTACCACTTGTTATACCAAGGCTGTTGTCTCCCACAACTGCTCTTAAAGCGAAATCTACTATAGAGATCTCAATTACCTTATGCAGCACGTGCGTAGCCACCTCAGTTGCCATGTGACACCCTTCACTCTTGTCTCTTCGCTTGCTCCAGCAAGACGTATAGTGACTGCTCTGAAGCGTTCCTGTTTTTCCAACCTTTCGGTGTATTTATTACTGTTTATTGACTCATATAAACTGTGCTTTTTTGTGGGCGTTTGCTGTGAATACGCTTGGAACCCGCCAAAAGGAACATTTTTCCTCCCTTTTTTCTATATACTTGCGGGGTGTCTCCTATGCATGTTGCGTCTTACGTTGCCCTGTTATAGTATGTCTTGGGGGTTTACATCACTTATTTCTCTATATGCTATATGTGTATGTTCTATATTCGCAATGCTCGTTTATTTTCTTGTGAAAATGTTCGTTTGTGAATATTTGTGGTGCGTGTGTTGTAACCATGTTTTACTCTTTGTTCATAGTAACAATGTCGGACAATGTCGGACATGGACATGTCGCCATCCTCAACCCCCTCTACCCCCTCTAATTCCTCTCTTCTCGGGATCCCCATGATCGTTGCCCGCGGTTCAGGGTTCCTTGCGGGGACACCCGGTGCGCCCTGTGCGAGGGTCTGGGGCCTGAGGCGTTGAGCGCTACAGTCTGTACTGCATTCTGTTTCCACCCCTGTGGTGGCCGGCTCGTCCGGTCGGGGTCCCCTTGCGGGTACCACCTCCACGGCTGCAGGCGATCCCTTGGCGGCCCTTGGGCTGTCCGGGGATTCTGTCACAGCATTACTTTCTCAACTTGTGGACTCCAAGCTGGCGGCCTTATCTCAGGATAGGCCGCTGGCTGTTCCGTCCCCCGATTCTTCAGTGGCCGCGGGGTCCACCGGTCTAGGGGTCGGGTCCTTCTTCCAGGAAGAAGCCCCGCTCTGAGGGCTCCGGTAAGGGCAATCAGCCGCCCTTTTGCGGGAAGAAGGGGAACTGGGGAAGTCCACAAGCTGTCTAGGGACGGCAAGGGCTCCTCCAGGTGACTTTCACTGGAGGGGTTCGTATGCCGACAGCGCCAACTTCACTTGGCCCGTAGGCGAACCCGAGTCACTCAGCCCTGGACAGTTGCGCCTGCCGCAGCCTGTCAGGCCCCCCTCTCCTTTCCCGGTGGGAGCCAGACTCCAGACTTACTGGGAGAATAGGGAACAAGTGTTCGACGACCCGTGGGTGGTCAACACAATCCGGTACGGCTATCGTCTAGATCTCAAAGCGGATCCGCCACTCACCGTTGCCCCGTTGTTGGAAGGTTTCTATTCGGAAACCGATCTTCCCATCCTGGCCGATGCCATCGGCAGGCTGGTGGAGAAGAGGGCGGTACGGGAGTTAGCCCTACCAGAAATAACACCGGGGTTTTACTCCAGGATATTTCTCGTTCCTAAGAAGGACAGTGCCGAACTCAGAATGATTCACAATCTGAAGTCATTCAACGAGTTTTACATGCACAACCCGCCCAAGTTCAGAATGTTGACCGATCCATCCAGACCATCACAAGTATCTCAGGTTTGTCTTTCAAGGCAGGCATTACAAGTGGGTAGCACTCCCATTCGGCCTATCGTCCGCTCCCTGGCTGTTCACCCGGTTAACCACCCCCATAGTGGGGTTCCTCCACAGGAGGGGTGTCAGGTACTTTGCATACCTGGACGACTCGCAAGTGGCGAATCGGATGACGGACGTGCTGTCTTGTCAACTCGATTTCGCCCTTCGGCTCTTGGAGCAATTGGGGTGGATTGTCAATCTCCACAAGAGCGAGTTAACCCCCTCACAGAACTTGAAGTTCATTGGAGGTAGGTTTCGACACGGTGACCCATCGCCTCTTTGTCCCCCCAGACCAGTGGCACAAGATTCAGGTGATGATTGACAAAGTCTTAGCGGTGCAACAGACAGTTCACTTTTGGGAACAGCTGTTAGGGCTACTTGTGTCAGCCCAGGACTGCACCAAACAGGGTCGTCTCCAACTCCGCCCGCTGCAACGGTTTCTAATCCAGTTGTTAGCACAGGAGGAGAACAGTGCATCCGTTGCCCTCCCAGATCGGCTCCGACCGCATCTGGAGTGGTGGACGGTCCCTTGCAACGTCTTATCAGGAGTCACATTCCCGGTGTGCGGAACGTACTGGCAGACGCGCTGTGGAGGCCTCGGGATCCGAGCCCCACGAAATGGATGCTCAATCCAGTAGTGTTTCAGTGTCTGTGCGAACGTCTGGGTCGTCCGATGGTCGACCTGTTCGCAACCAGGTACAACAATCAACTCCCGTTGTTTGTATCACCAGTCCCGGACCTGAGGGCCATCGATCACGATGCTCTCGCGTTAGACAGGAAGGGTATGGAAGCTTATGCTTACCCAAGACGGCGTTAATACCACTCATTCTAAGCCGGCTCCGAGGAGTTCGCTGTCGAATGTTGCTGATCGCGCCTATATGGCCGAACAGATCGTGGTACCCCGACTTGCTGGCCCAGGTCAGGCAGTCGCCAATTCCACTGCCTGTGAGACCGGATCTTCTGATCCACCCTCACACCCGTCAACTTCATCCTAACGCAGGGCAGTTCAATCTGCACGCGTGGATGTTGTCGCCGAGCGACTGAGGAGTAAAGGTTTTTCTCGTCAGTCTTCTCTGGCATACATTAGTATGCATTGTGATTCTACCCAAAAGGTGTATAATGCATGCTGGGCTATTTTCACGAAGTGGTGTTGCAAACATCACATTCATTCGCCAGATAAGGTATCTGTGCAGGACGTTGATCGTTTCATGTCTCATTTATGAGAGACCCGGAAACTCTCCGGGGGTTCCATTGCCAACTATGTCTCTTCTGTTGCTACGGTACGGGACGTTGCTATGGGTACCAGTCTCTCAAAAGAGCCGGTGATTCGGGGTTTTATCAAGAGTTTCAAACAGCAAGATCTTAAGAAAGGCCGTCTTCGGGCTACGGCCTGGGATCTTTCCTTAGTGTTGGAATAACTTATGGAAGCTCCGTATGAATCCTTGAGTAGTGCTTCGTTTTGGCATGCGACTTGGAAAACAGCATTTCTCCTCTCCTTTGCCACGGCGGCACGAGTGTCTGAGATTCATGCACTCGATGTCACTAAAGTACGATTCGAATGGGGCGATGAAGGAGCGGTCCGCCTGGGCCTGCTCATGGGCTTCGTTGCTAAGAATAAAAAACTTGGCCAAACGGAGAGAAAATTCCCTGTAAGATCACTCAAGGAAATCTTGCATCCTGCTGATACTGAGGACATATCACTGTGTCCGGTTAGGGCCCTTAAGTATTATCTTAAGGCTTCAAATGAACGCAGACAAGGGTGTGAGCGTCTGTTCATATCGTGTAACCCTAATCGGACTGCTGACATAACTCGCAACTCGATTGCGTTATGGCTTCGTTCTGTCATCAATCTGGCGTACCGGTCTCGGGGGATACCGGTTGCAGGGTCAAAGCCGCACAAGATAAGGACGCTAGCGGCAACATTTGCCCTACACTCCAATATAAGGGGTGTGCCCAGCGCAATTCCGAACTCCTCAGGCGTCAGACCTTGCACTGTGGTCAATCTGGGTCGACTCCAATGTTCCCACTGCCGTGAGTACAGGAGTGAGGGTCCCGCAAACCAGCGCACTCACACCACAGGTGAGGGCGGCTTTTAGTGTGTTTTGTCCTTATTTGTATTTTGACAATTATGTATTTTATGTCTGTCGTGTATTCCAACCTTGTAATGCATGCTTACAAATACTGGAATTAGGTCACGCGCCTAATGCATACTTGAAGTAGGCTTGCTGTGGGATATACGGTCCGAATGAAATTAATTTCCCTCTTTCCGACTGTTTAACCTGATCTTAGATTTAGCTCACACGGAAACTGTGTTCTCATCCGCTGCGGCGATGAAAAACCTATCCAGTGGGGCCGTTTGGAGTCACCAATCGTTTGGCAATGACGATTGAGCCTTACGGTATGCGCTTGACAGTGCTTTGGTATTCCTACAGGGTAACGCCAAGCTAGGAGCATGCGCATTGAGTGCTTCCGCCTTGTTTTTACATCCGCTGGTCGGAAGGAACACGAGCAGTCAGGTTCGGGTTGTAGGTGCTCCCCACCGCCTACTGTGATAATCAGCCTTGGTATAATAAGTGGTAACGTATTACTTATTGTAATTTGTGGAATTTTCCTATTCGGAATATTCTATAGTAAAACGTTACCACTTTGAGACAGAGACAAGAGTGAAGGGTGTCACATGGCAGCTGAGGTGGCTACGCATGTGCTGCATGAGGTAATTGAGATCTCTGTGGTAGATTTCGCTATAAAACCAGTTGTGGGAGACAACAACCTTGGTATAACAAGTGGTAACGCATTACTATAGAATATTCCGAATGAGGTAATTCTACAAAATATTAATGATATCATTACACAATATAGAATCAGCCATGTCAAGTTGTACAATGTTATGTATTCTGTTTGTGTCAGTTCTAAATGAGACTAAGTGTTCAGCGGAACCATCCCCTCGACAGGCTATGTGTAGGCCAGTAATATATTCTGATTGTTTCAGCTCTGAATGGGCCTGTGTATGTGGTAGAGTCATCCTCTCTACAGGTTGTGTGTAGATCAGTAATATATTCTGGTTGTTTCAGCACTGAATGGGCCTGTGTATGTGGTGGGACCATCCTCTCTTCAGGTTGTGTGTAGGCAGTAATATATTCTCATTGTTTCAGCACTGAACGGGCCTGTGTATGTGGTGGGACCATCCTCTCTACAGGTTGTGTGTAGGTCAGTAATATATTCTGGTTGTTTCAGCACTGAACGGGCCTGTGTATGTGGTGGGACCATCCTCTCTACAGGTTGTGTGTAGGTCAGTAATATATTCTGGTTGTTTCAGCACTGAATGGGCCTGTGTATGTGGTGGGACCATCCTCTCTACAGGTTGTGTGTAGGTCAGTAATATATTCTGGTTGTTTCAGCACTGAATGGGCCTGTGTATGTGGTGGGACCATCCTTTCTTCAGGTTGTGTGTAGGCAGTAATATATTCTGATTGTTTCAGCACTGAATGGGCCTGTGTATTTGGTGGGATCATCCTCTCTACAGATTGTGTGTAGGACAGTTATATATTCTGATTGTTTCAGCACTGAATGGGCCTGTGTATGTGGTGGGACCATCCTCTCTTCAGGTTGTGTGTAAGTAGTAACACCTGATAGCAACCAACCAGTTTTGTCGGTCATATCAAAGTTTTCAATGAATAACTATTCATAAAAACTATAAACTATATCTTCCCAAAACCCTTAACTTGGTATACTATCACTACACATTGCATGGTATGCAGAACCATTAACTTGATCTTCAGTACATGTTCCACCATCTTATTCATTTTAACTTAAAATTATGATCCAAATATGAGTTCAATATATGGAGTCAATCAAACACTGTCCTGATACCGGCTTGCAGATATGTGAATCGGATACCTGCCAGATATGTTTTAACAGTGTCATGTGTGAGTTTGAGGACGTCGTGGCAATGAGCAATGGGGTACTGAAGGTAAGCTTCATTAACTGGTGGCAGGGCACTGCTAGCACCCAGTGGGTAAACAACCTGAACTTTAACATGGGAAAGTGCATCTGCAATGTTATTTTGCACACCTGGAACATGTTCGGCTCACACGATAAAGTTGATTGTAGCTGCTTGCCATGTGAGGGTCAGCATTAGAGCCATGATGTTCATACATTTTGATCTACCCTTTTTGATAATACACACAGTAGCTATGTTGTCACAAGGTTAGGATTGCTTCCACAGTTCTACCAGCTTCACAACAGGAGGATCAATAGTCAGGAAGTCATCTAACAGATGCAGAATATTTTCCACGCCATAGTTGTATTGCAACATCCAGCACACGGCTTATGACAGGGTATCGAATATCTTTGGACTTGATCTGCATCCGAAAGCCAATCTAGAATAGAAGTAGTCGCTAGCATTGCATCGGAGACCAAAGAAAGGAAAGTACTTGGGGTGCAGCGGAATCTGTTTAAATGCGGCAGTAATGTACACTTTACACATCTGTGCACCATGCCCCAATTGTTTAATAACTGCAATAGCATTGTCTATGGTCAAGTGGGAAAGTGAAGCAGATTCCTTATTAATGAGATCGTTGATACCTGTGTCGTATCGCCTGTGTCATGTGGGGCTGACAGATCAGTTTATATTCGTCCAACTGTTTATGTTTTGCATCATTTGTGTCACTGTAAATGTTCTTACATATGCCAAAGGCCTGGGTGAATTTGGCAAGGGCCAGTGCACGATTTAACCTAACATCCTCTTCCAATTGGTAGACATTGTCATCATATTCGGTCATTCTTGCGCCTAAGGTGTCTTGGTTGCGTAATAATAGCAAAGCAAGGTTGCAATACTTGCCGTTTTTTATCTTCATCTTAAGAGCTGGAGCGACAGAGTGAATGTGTGGCAGAGAATCAGAAGGCGCTTCATGGCTGTGTTGATTTGGTAATCCCACAGCCGCGTGATCAGCTGACACTGTGTGTTTTTTAACTGTGCTAGTCCACGTTGTAGATTTGTAACACTTACAGTGACAGAAGGCACGGAGTTGGTCACATTTTCCACATTGTCCGACACAACGCTGTCTGGTAGATCTAGATCTAGATCTCTGCTGTGAGATAGTCCAGCCTCAACAATCACCGTAAATGTAGCCGCCAGTGTTGATCCTCTTGCACCAACTGCAGCAAGTTTTTCCTTGGCCAGTTATTCGACACCCTCACGACATTTTCCGCCAGTTGTATGCGTAATGTACAGTCGTCGATGTTACAGGTGGTTACACCATTTACCATTCCATACAATCATCGATGTAGCAGGTGGTTACTCACAAATGCATCGCATGCAATCGTCTATGTTCCAGGTGATAACTCACAAATGCATTGTATTCAATCGTCGATATTGCAGGTGGTTACTCACAAATGCATTGCATTCAATCGTCGATATTGCAGGTGGTTACTCACAAATGCATTGCATTCAATCGTCGATATTGCAGGTGGCTACTCATAAATGCATTGCATACAACTGTCGATGTTTCAGGTGGTTGCTCAATAATGCATTGCATACGATCGTCGATGTTGCAGGTGGTTACACAATTAAACATTTAATACAATAATCGACGTTGCTACTGGTTACTCACAAATGCATCGCATCCACTCATCGATGTTCCTTGTGGTTACTCACAAATGCATCGGATACAATCATCGATGTTGTAGGTGATCACATACACACACAGTGAATACAGTCATCGATATTGCAGGTGCTTACTCACAAATGCATCGTATTCAATCGTCGATATTTGCTGGTGATACTCACAAATGTATCGCGTACAATCATCGTTGTTGCTGGTGGTTACAAACACACACAATCAATACAGTCATAGATATTGCAGGTGACTACTCACAAATGCATTGCATACAATTGTTGATGTTGTTGCAATTTCTCAAAAATGTTTCGCATATAATCATTGATCTTGTAGATGGATACCCTCAAATGAATTGAATACAATCCTCGATGTTGCAGGTGGTTACTCACAAATAAATCACATACAATCGTCGATGTTCCAGGTGATTACTCACAAAAAAATCACATACAATCGTCGATGTTCCAGGTGATTACTCACAAATAAATCACATACAATCGTCGATGTTCAAGGTGATTACTCACAAATAAATCACATACAATCGTCTAAGTTCCAGGTGATTACTCACAAATGCATCACGTGCAATCATCGATGTTGCAGGTGGTTACATACACACAATCAATACAGTCATCGATATTTCAGGTGATTACTCACAAATGCATCATTCTTCGCATACAATCATCGATGTTGCAGATGGATACTCAAAAATGCATCCCATACAATCCATGTTGCTGGTGGTTACTCACACATGCAGAGCATACAATCGTCCATGTTGCAAGTGGTTACATACCCACACATTCCATACAATCGTCGATGTTGCTAGTGGTTACATACACACACATTCCATACAATCGTCGATGTTGCTAATTGTTACATACAAACACATACCATACAATCGTCGATGTTGCTAGTGGTCACATACACACAAATTCCATACAATCTTCGATCTTGCTAGTTGTTACATACACACACATTCCATACAATCTTCGATGTTGCTAGTGGTTAAACACAAACACACACATTGCATACAATCGTCGATTTTGCTAGTGGTCACACACACACATTCCATACAATCGTCGATGTTGCTAGTGGTTACATACACACACATTCCATACAATCGTCGATGTTGCTAGTGGTTACATACACACACGATCCATACAATCGTCGATGTTCCTAGTGGTTACATACACACACATTCCATACAATCGTCGATGTTGCTAGTGGTTACATACACACACATTCCATACAATCGTCCATGTTGCTAGTGGTTACATACACACACGATTCATACAATCGTCGATGTTGCTAGTGGTTACATACACACACATTCCATACAATCGTCGATGTTACTAGCGGTTATATACACACACATTCCATACAATCGTCGATGTTGCTAGTGGTTATATACACACACATTCCATACAATCTTCGATGTTGCTAGTGGTTATATACACACACATTCCATACAATCGTCGATGTTGCTAGTGGTTACATACCCACACATTCCATACAATCGTCGATGTTGTTAGTGGTTACATACACACACATTCCATTCAATCTTCGATGTTGCTGGTGGTTACATACACACACATTCCATACAGTCGATGTTGCTAGTGGTTATATACACACACAATCCATACAATCGTCGATGTTGCTAGTGGTTACATACACACACATTCCATACAATTGTCGATGTTGCTAGTGGTTATATACACACACATTCCATTCAATCGTCGATGTTGCTAGTAGTTAAATACACACACATTCCATACAATCGTCGATGTTGCTAGTGGTTATATGCACAAACATTCCATTCAATCGTCGATGTTGCTAGTAGTTAAATACAGACAAATTCGAAACAGTCGTCCATGTTGCTAGTGGTTACATACACACACATTCCATACAATCGTCTATGTTGCTAGTGGTTACATACACACACATTCCATACAATCTTCGATGTTGCTAGTGGTTACATACACAAACATTCCATATAATCGTCCATGTTGCTAGTTGTTACATACACACACATTCCATACAATCGTCGATGTTGCTAGTGGTAACATACACACACATTCCATACAATCGTCCATGTTGCTAGTGGTTACATACACACACATTCCATACAGTCGGCGATGTTGCAAGTGGTTGAACACACACACACACATTCCTTACAGTCGTCCATGTTGCTAGTGCTTTCATACACACACATTTCATAAAATCGTCCATGTTGCTAGTGGTTCAACACAAACACACACATTCCATACAATCATCCATGTTGCTAGTGGTTACATTCACTCACATTCCATATAATCGTCCATGTTGCAAGTGGTTACATTCACACACATTCCATACTATCGTCCATGTTGCTAGTGGTTACATACACACACATTCCATACAGTCGGCGATGTTGCAAGTGGTTCAACACAAACACACACATTCCATACAATCGTCCATGTTGCTAATGGTTACATTCACACATATTCCATACAATGGTCCATGTTGCTAGT